ACAAAGGCTGGGGTCTCTATGATGGCGAGGGACTTGAGTGTGACTGGTCTTTCTTGTCACCACTGGTGATACCAAATCAACACTCGACTAGGCAACATTGACTCAACCCCTTGCATCTCCAAATCAAGCAATGAAACAAGATTTTGTGTGCAAATGCAGGTGAGTTATTTACCAATCAAACTCTTGCACCTTGAATTGACAAGTTGGTACTGTTCATTCCCATGTTTGAAATTAGTCGGCTCCCTTCGAAAAAAAAATTGAATGATGCACACACATCTTTCAACACAGCAAAGTCAAAGTTGGAGAATTTATTGACATCAAATGCTTGCTATACAAGCGATTATTTTGCTGCTCATTGGGCCTGTCAAGGAAAAATTGCAGTTGTCTCCATCCTGCTTTGCAATTGATTTCCATCTGAGCAGCTCTGATATGCATTGCTCCACCACCTTAGCATAATAAGTATCAATGAACAGCCCTGCACGTTCAGCCAATCCTCTAAACTTCAGGGCACATAGCACTATTCATGAGAGGCCCACAACTGAGTCTCTTTTTCTGAGACCCAGACGTTTCACAATCTGAATTGGCTTGTCAGAAAGACAACTAGTATGTCACTCATCAGCAATCTGCTTTTCCGTCCAACCAATCCGCTTGGTTCTATGTCTCCTAGTGGTAATGCAAGACCGGCCAATAAGGTACAACAACAACTTCCCGACTTCTTTCATCTTCTCAGCTCGTTTACTCACCAGTTTTGGGATCCATGTTGATGATCTTGTTCAATTGACTGGTGCAAAAGCTAGTCTTTGGTTTTGATCAAACTCGACTTTGGAATCCTCTTCAGTCATCTCAAGACCAAGCTTTTGATGTCTTATATCAGTTGATTGCTGGATTTAGTTCCAATGATGATGCTAGTCTCATTCATCTCAAAGCCAAAGTGGCAGTAGTATCATCCAGCTTGACATACTCTTCAAGGTCGGACAGATCAATTAGATACGACAGAGAAGCGTAAATTGGACAATCCCAACTCGACTCTCCTTGGTCAAGCCAATTGGTTTGATGCTTTGGGTTATGAGGAATATGTATCAATTATCAAACTGAACTTGTTCAAACTTGGCTTAACAAGATGACCTGCTTTGATGATTCCTTTTTCCTTTTCCAATTTTAGGGCTTGATCTTACTTATGTCGAGAAGAAGTGCACTTCATTCCCCTAGAGTTTTTTCAATTCTTAATGAATTTAAAAATTCTATTGATGTTCAATGGAGGGTTTGGTTTCGAGATGAAACATCAGAATCCATACTCTTAGCTCACTTATGGTAACATGTTTCTTAATATAATGTTAGTGATTAGTTTTCACTACTCTGATGAGTGATTTATCAATCACCATCCTTGCCCTTACCTTGCCACGTAGGTGAGGTAAGTGCTGTTTTGGGAAAGCGCGCGGAGCGTGCCACGGCCTTGGTTTCCTTAAACCAAGATCGTGGTTCCCCTAAACCAACACTTTGGTTTTCCTGACCAAGAGTGTGGTTGAGGTAGCTTTGGTCTTATGGCTTCCCGTTTTCGTTTCATCTGTAGGAGGGATTGTTTGTTCTCCCTGTTTCCGAGAAAGGGATGGCCAGGCATGCCGTTCTTGGCCTGACGGACAACCCCTCCTACGGTAGGGCTGGCCAGACACTTGGTCATCGCAGATCGAAAGAAACGGACTTCTGACATTTACTCTCAACTTCGTCCTTTCGGGCGTCTTCGAGAGGTATCCAAACCTTGTTTATCTCCGCTTTACAAGCCGAACCCTGTTCAATGTGGCTCACTAGTTGGATCTACAAACTCATAATCTTATTGCATCTAAAAATGACTTTGTCCTTTGTATCTCGTCTTGTGAGAAAACCTTTGTGTATCGTTGAAACGAGGATGATTTCCACCTTCCCACTCTTTTAATTGTCTCATCTGACGTTCCGAGGTTTGATCTTAACAAGGCTCCTCCTACCCTAAAGGAGTGACCCGACCACTTATCCAAAGACGACTTCCCCCATACCTTTTCCACGCTGTTTATGAATATTCGTTTTGTCAACAGACCGTGTTTGGTTTGGAAAATTGGCAAATCTCGTTCTTTCATCGGATTCGCCTTTAGGATCCTTTCTAGAGCTTTCACCGGGTCAAGTATTGATGGCTGGGATTGTAAGTGGATTATTTGTATCTCATTCGGAGCTGCCGTTTTTGCTTTCCTCAGCTTTAACCTTGCCCATTTTCCCTTTTTGGATTCACCGAATTCTACGTGGTGTCTTAACAAAGCTCCGTCCGATTTTCCCCCCCTGAAGATTTCTCCTAATCGTATCATCCCCCAGAAGGCGATTAAACCAATGTCTGCTACCAAGGTTTGTATGTCTGACTTTCTGTGAGACTCGATTAGCAGCTGATATAACTCCTGAACCCTCACTGGCTTCTTAATCGACTCGAAAACAACGCCTTCCTCCTCTCGTTTCGTTGCCCTGATTAACATCTTGACTATATCCGAATCGACTTCAATCTTGTTCAGGTGCTTTACGATGTGCCATGCGTTGATACCGTCAAGGTATTTGTCGATCGTTTTCGCTGTTATAGGTTTCTTCGGAGGGTTTGGTACGTCGATCTTAGTTCTTCCTGCCCAAGTGATGAAGTTGTATATCTGCTTGTTACTGATCGGGATGTTTCCATTAAACTCTTTCCCAGTTGATTCTACGTAAGCGATGTATTTTGACAACCCAGAGGAATAGCCCGCCAGAGTTGATTTGGCCCAACTCCCTACTGCTAGGTGTGCTCCTGGTCGAGTTGACCTTTTCGCTACTTTTCCAAAATGGCCTGGAATGTCATACGGTTTTGAAAAGGTGACTGGTCGTTCTCTTCTCTTTTGGCGAGGCATTTTTGGAGTGGTGTCTGACATTTTTTTTTGAGAACTTCGAAGCGGATTGCTTGTTCAATTCTGGGAGTCTCAAAGTCTACCTCTCTTCTGCTGGACCGTGCTTCCAACCCACCTTCCGACGGAATTTTTTTTTCCGATTCTCGACGCGCTCTACTGTACTTTTGGGATTCTTTTGACTGCACTCGACGTAGTCCCGTCCTTGTAATGGACAATATAGGGAGTTTATGGGACCTCTCATGCACTCTTCCGCACACAGCTAGTTTGCTCAACCAAATCGTGACAATTGTCACATTTCTTTCCAAAACTTATTATCACATTTGTTCCAAAAATTTATTCAGGTCCGCAGGTAAGTCAATCCTCAACTTATTTTCCTGCCTCTTCCGTGAGATCTTTCCTCTAGAAAGAGCGTCAGCTGCGTTATCTGCTGACACTACTCTCTTTGCGGAAATTGCGTATTGTTTCCTTAGGAGCCGTTCTTGAATGTTCTTCCATTCGGCGTTAACTAAAGGATCTCTGGACTTCCCATTCACAATCGCGTTTTCTGCTACGGTGTTGTCGGTGAGTACCAAATAGTTCACTCCTTCAACGTTTTCCAAACTTTCTATCATTATGAGTCCTATTCTGATTGCTGCTGTTTCTGCCCATGCAATTCCTCGCCTATCGCCATTCTTTTCTGGACTTTTCCACCCGGCTCGCAGCTTGAACTGAGCCCACCTCTTCCCTATGATCACCCCTATACCATACAAAGTGGATGCGTCCCCGACCCAACCCACATTTCGTACTTCCGGCTTTGGGATTACTCTTAAGGGGTCAGCCGTTTCTAACGTTTCTAACCAGATTTTCAAATCTTCTCGAACTTCTTGAGGTAAAGGTCTTAACGCATACTTATTTCCCCAGGTCTTCATCATCCGGTAAGTAGCTGAAGTGTAGACTCTCATTTGGGGGAATACAAAGGTAATGTGATTTAGTCTGCCTACCAAGACTTCGGTGTTCTTGAATGACTGTTTTTCTTGCCGTGCGTATTCTTCTATTTGATTCATTCTTAATTTGATTTTTTCCTCCGGTAATCTGACCGTTTTGTTTTCCCCGTTCCAAATAAAACCCAGGTATTTTTGTTCAGATTCGAACTCCCTCCATTTCTTTTCATTCGTTTCGACCCCCATCTCTTGACTTGCCTCTGCAATCTGTCTCATCGTTGTCGGGTTGGATCCGTCGGCCGGTTTTACAAATAAGGTGTTGTCCACCCACCTGAAACCTTGCAGGAGGTTAAATTTGAGCATCATTATTTCTTTCCAGGATTCCGCAGCCTCGCCGAACGTTCCACAGCCTGCGATGCCTCCGAACTGAACCCTTGTGTCTACGTACACTAAATTGTTAAAACCGAGGATCATCAAGAAGCACCACTGGTCCATTGCTACCGGTATCTGTCGGTAAGCTTTTGCCCAGTCAAAGACCCCCAATACAATCTTCCCTTCGTGAGTTGTAATGAACCAAGCTACCTTGCTAAAGTCGTCCCAGGTGGTTTCGAAGTCATCTTTGTCTACTCTAAAGTTGACTGATTCTATTTCGGGGTCATTTTTTGGGAATGACAGGTTGCTGATCGGTCTGAAAGACCCGTCGCCGTTAATGACGGCTCCGAGAGGATTCGTTCTGAAGAAACCCATTTTGTTGTAAGCTTCCTCCTTGGTCCAAGGACCGAACATCCTTCCTCTCCGTATTTCAGCATTGATATTTTTTTCTATTTTCTCCTTTGCCTGATAGGCTGACTTATGATTATCTGGGCAATAAAACTTTAAGCCTCTTACTTTTGCGTTCTTTATGCCTTGGTCAAAGCCATACTGGAAACCTCAAATGATTTTCTGGTATTTCCTTTCAAGACCGTAAGTTTGAAGTTCCTTACGCCACCTACCAATGTCCATCTCACAAGTAGGTTTGGTTGGCCACCTTCTGCCCTTATTAAACCATTCCGAATCTGACCAAAATTCTGGTATTGGTGTCATCAGCGGTTGGTGAATGTATGCCCTTGATGCGGACGGAGTGTCTTTCACTATCTGGTACGGGTCTGCCTCACTTTCATCTATTTGTTCCTGGGTCACGGGCAAATAGGGTCTAGTCAAGGGCAAGGGGGAACTTAGGCACATTGGGAACAGTTTTCAAGCATGTTAGTACAGCTTCTTCCATTCTCATTTATTTTTTGGAATTTGTCATGAGATTTCATTTCAAATAATTCCACACCAGACGTTCCAGACTCTAGTAGCTTACGCTTTCTTCCCTTTGACAGGGTTTCCGTGCTTGTCCCTCCTGTCCGGGCTCCTGCCTCTGTCTCTGTGACCTGCATATCTTTCTGAGTACCTGTCACTTGCGTAACGATCATCTTTCCTCCAATCGTTCCGTCTTCTCCCATTGTCGTTTTGGCCTTTGTAGTTGCCACCACCCCTTCCACCTTTCCCATTACCTTTGTATGAGCTCGTGGACGCGTGGCGGTTCTCGGTTACGTTGTTTGATAAGGAGGTTGCAGAAGGTAAGTTGAACTTTGACTTGTTTGTCAAAGGGCATATGTTCGACTTTGGTTTCCCCGGAGCATAAGGATTTGTTTTGTAATGGCGCTCGTTGTAACTTTCAGCGGTTGTTTTTGCTTTGATTAACAGGGTCTCTTGAAGCTCGGCGTAATTACCAATAGATTTGTCGATTGTTTCGTGCATTACCCCTTGCCTTACCAGTCGGCAGTAGCGCAGGGCAACCATCCAACCGAAGTCCTTACGTAGTTTCTTCACCACTGCTATGTGGCCTTCGAAGCGTTCTGCGACAGGTTTCCATCCGCATGTGATTAGGTGAGAACAGAACAGTTCCATACAATCGCTCCAAACTTCGAAATCGATCGTAAGTTCTTCTACAGGCGCCTCTCCCCCATAGATTCGGGCCTCTCCTGACTCCTTCTTATCCGACTTTGTGGTTCTAGTTGACCATGCTTTTTGGTCTTTCACGAGCCACTCTTTGTCAAACACCGTGAGTTGGATATAGGAAGATAGTCCTTTCAGAATGATCGTTAGGCCTGGTGACAGCGGGGCTAAGGATTCCGTCATTTGAGCGTTACCCCCCTTTAGGATTCTGCCGTTGTGAATGACGTCGCCATTAAGCATCTCTAAGGTTCCTTTTTTCGAAGACATGATTGCTAACACCTTGTCTGACTCCTCTTTTGATGCAGCACCTTCGAACCAGGTCGCCTTATCTTCACCAACCTCGGTTGTCGAGTTTTGAGCAAGCCCAGAGGGTGCCTGATTCATGGTTCTGTCCTTGGTAACCTGATGATGGACCTCCGGCATTGGTTGTGGTATTGGTTGTTTGGGTACCACCTGCTTTACGAACGTTATTGACGGGATGCTAGATCGTGAGGTCTTGGTGCCTTCTTCGTCCAAGACGTAAGGATTGTCCTTCTTTTCTGCGACGCTGATTTTGTCCAAGACTTTTAACAGGGTGTTTGCTTCTCCGTCGTCTCCACAATCATACGCATCTTGGATTAGCTTTCCTAGCGTTTTCCGTCTGGACTCTGTTAACGTCACACAGTGAACCGAACAATCAACCGTCCAAAGAGTTAGTGTTGTCTCTTGTTGATCCTCTGGTCTACGACAAATGGAATCGGTATTATTATTATGGACGTGAACACCTATTGTAAGGCGGGTCATGGCTGGATCACTATTTGAAGCCGTGTCAGGCTGTTTTTTGGGACACCAATTGTAAGCCGGGCCTGGCTGGACCTTATTATGAGCCTGGTCAGGCGTGCGTCCATTTCCCGATGTTTTCCCGACTTCGTCACTATATTCAGCAGACTTTGGAAGAACAACAAAGGGTAATTCACTCTTTTTTCGCTCTTGTGCGTCTTTTTACCTGATATGTTGGCATAGACTGCACGAGAGCTGACTTGATCCTCCTTATAGATGAATATGAGATCATGTAAACTATGGATTCAGACAAGATTGATGATGAAGCAAGAAGGGTTGGAGTGTATGGTATGGAAGGGGCGGACGTGTGTGACAGGATTGGGAGCAGGAGTAGATGAAGGTAAAGGTGTAACTGGGTATATGAAGAGAATCTCATTTCTGAATTTGCTAACTCACCATCTTGGTTTATTTCCTCTTCACTACCTTCCTCCTCTTCCATCCTTCCCTCACTGCTTTGCTCTCCTATACCCCCCCATTCCTCCTCTTCTTCTTTCTCTTCTCCTTCTGGTTCATTCCTGTTTTCTCGATCTCTTCTTCTCATATTCCTGGCGTCTCTAGTTCTTTTCAACCCTCTAGGACGACGAAAACCATTGGTAGGAGTCCTGCTCGCCAGCCTTCCATTAGCTCCTCTCTTTGGTGTTAAGAGGCGGTCCCCTGGCCTTATGCCTGTTGCCGCTGCATTTGCTCTTGTTAATCTTTGATTTAAGTTGTTTTCTGTTTGTTCGATTTGATTCATGAATGACATTCTTTCAGTTCCTTTCTTTTGATTTGAGAATTCTTCTTTTTTAGAACTTGTTGTCTTTGATTTGTCTACTTTGTCAATTGTAATTTAAATAATAAACAATCAGGCGAGAGAGAGTGTGAGCGTGAAAGAGATGGATAAAAGACCGTCTCAAGAGCGAAAAAGCAAGAGTAGAGGATTTCCTTTAGTGGAGGAAATTCGAGTGTACTTTGAGTCCACGTCTCATACTTTGCTTGTGACATGTGTAATCCATACCTGTCACCTCTTTTGTTCACGGCGTGTGGACACATTCACCAAAACGTGCCTTATTTGGTGCTTTCCAAGGTAAGCTAGAAAAAACATCCTTTGATAAACAAAAACAACTTTTTTGTTTCTTTGAAAAATGATCCAAAAAAAGAAGAACCAACCAACATCTCATTTATTTTGATTTTCAACAAACATAGCTGCATATGCAGCCTTTTCAATATCTTTAGACATGAAGAATGGGATTAGAAATATTGATGGAACATCTCTCATCAGCGCTAGGAAAGCTAGTTCAATGCATGTGATGCCACCTCTTTTCTTAAATCCGTCTTCTAGTGTGTAATTGTAGGTGCAAAATGATACTGAAGTTGAAAATAGACAATCAGGTCAAATTTCTCAAAATGTTGTTGAAACCAGTCTGATCTTATCATCTCATCATCCTGAATTCCCATCTAATCATTCTATGGATCAACTCCCACCGTGATCCTCCACCTGATCTTGAAACGTCTACATTTCTCTGATCTCCTAATCTTGTACAAGGTGAATTATTCACACTGTTATCTAACATATGTCTTCAATAATCTTTGAAACAATATTTGCCTCCTGTTACACATAAAATAAAAGGTAATGGCAACATGGCCACTTGAGGTGTGGCGGCTCCAAAGATGACCAATATAAGAAAATAGATGTTGCCTATGTTTTGAAATTGTTCAAAGAGATTCTATTAAAAATGAATTTAAAGATCAGTTTGACGGAAAAAGATGGTTTAGATTTATAGTCAAGACGCAAGGAAATCATGTACCTTTGGTGAGAATGAGATGATTGTATATATTCAGTAGCTAATGGATCACCATTTCTATCAATCTGACCAGTAGATAAACCCAAGTTAACATAGATCAGTCTTATTTAATTCAAAAAAACAACAACTGCTCTTGGAGTTTGACTTATCAGATTTTGTTTTTTATTTTTTAAGACCAGTTGTAGGAGAATTGTCTAATTATTTTGAATCTTGGGTATGTTCATCTTTGCCTTAGTTATAGGAGGTAATGGAGGTAATTCAGTTTTTGAATAAGATTTTCTCATATGATTTGAATTAGCAGTTGGAGGTGTAAATTGTCTTCAAAGTCATTCACATATTCCTAATGGATCTTCACTTGATGATTGACCCAAGCTTTTTTTAGCTTTCCTTTTACAATAATCTTCCGAGATTGCTTTATGAATCTGTAGAGTATCCTTGAGTCGATTTGGGAAAAGTTTAAATTGATTTGGAATCTGCAAGTTTAGCTGAAGGTGAAGGAGGCGATCAGCATTCTAGTACCTTTGAAGCCATACCAAGGGATGCGGTGATTTTCTCAAAATCATTGAAAAAGAGGAAAACTATGAGATAGTCAGACCTCAATGAGTGGGTTATTTTGAATCAAAGTTATAAATTTCTTTGACAAACCAAGTTTATGTATCCGTTGAGCACTTCAAAATCACCCATTACGTGTCATCCATTTCATCATTGTCATTGTCTCATCTTCACTCCTTGATCCAAATACATGAGGTATTTTGAGGGTAGTGTTTGCTGCGGGTACAGGTGGTAGACTTCAAATTCAATTTGAAAGTGTTGGAACATGTTGGTTTGAAGGGTTATTTGGATCTGGATCACTTGAATCAGATTGATTATCTAGGTTTAGTTGAGTGACTATGTACTGGTTGTGTAATAGGAATAATTGAAGCTCAGGCTTGAGAATTATTGGGATGACTGTTCAAGACGTACAGGATTGAGACTATAAAGGGTTGATTGAAGGATGAGTGGGACAAAATGTCCTGCATGTGGTACTACATTATGGTTATGAAGAGTTACATATGTTGACATTTCCCCGCGTGGAACACCAAAGTTAAAATAGGCTTCTTAAAAGTTTCCTGAGCAGAATTGCTATTGAATGAGGAGTTCAGCTGGAGCTGAGAGCTCAAACATGGCCCAGCTCACTGATGAGATGTGCAACTAAGGACTGGCTAGGGATTGGACACACAAAAGCAGGTGGGATTGGAGACTTTTTGGGCACAATTGCAAGGCTTTCAACCCCCCTTGACGTTGAGGGGGGATCTGGCGGTCCTTGTGCTATATAACTACACCCACAGTGCTCAATTGTCATGTTTAAAACACACTCAGATTCAAAACAGAAGTGAGGCAGAACAAGAGCAAGTTCTCAATCTACCTACTTCAATTGTAGCATTTGAAGAGGACATTGCTGCCGTGGTTGCAGAATGAGGTGACAAGGAGTTTTGGACTTTAAAAGCAGCCTTGGGTGAGTTTCTCATATTACGTTGCTTTTGTACAAAGACATCATCTTACCAAGTTGCTTCTGCAGACAATACGGCCGGGGCACTCATCTAAGTCCGCATGGCAAAACAAAAGCTATACAAAGCTAAAGTGGGAATTCTGGAGGCACAAAAGCAATGAGAAAAGTACGGTCAAGGTATGTATAATCTGGCTCATGCTCTCAAAATCGGAAATTCTATAGTCTTATTAAATCAATATAATTGGATTATTGTATTTCATGATGGGCAGGAACTTGCGCACAACAAAGTTTGAAGCAATTAATGAGAAATAAACACAACCTATTCAAACAAAAGTTTGAATCATTCAAATGACAAGTGCCAAAACACAATTCTATTCAACCCCTGAGTCACAATATACTATGTCCAACCTATGACAAGGCCAAGTCAATGCGGATTGAGGGCCCACTTTGGGATATGGGTTCACTCTTGCATCCTACAGAGGCTTGGGGAGTGGACCCAGGAACCAAGGAGGTATCCAAGCCTTTTTAACACACAAAAGCTCCACCAAGGAGCTTTGTCAGATCAGCGGCAAAATTCGACAAAAGATGATATTTGCATTGAAAACAGATGAGAGATTTGATCGTCTTTGGGGATTGTCTGTTAAAGGTATGTATCATAACTTTTAAACAAAGGAAGGGTTCAAAAACAAAACCGGTCAAAATCGACCGAAGTCTCCGCACACCAGCCAAATGAGTATCAGACCTGAGGAAGAAACCTGTCCCATCTTCACATCCATCTTCACATTTGCACATCCCAACTACAAGCTCAAACATTAGCAAAAACCAATCTCCATGCCGCCTTTTTCAAACCAAATCAATATTTTAGACGCCCTACGGCCTTGTCTCCAGGGTGATTCCGCAAATCCTTGTCAATTGGCATGGCACCACGTAGCGCAATCCATGTCTATACATCACCCCATGCAAACCTTGTCAGGTGACGTCGATCTTGACAGCATGATGCTGGAGCCACACAATTTTACGCAAACGTACTGATGCCTCTATCAGTCATCACCGGACACATCCAAATCACAAATGCTGCGCCCCCTCTTTCAGCTTCACTTGCCTTCGCTCAATAGTGTCATAGTAAAATACGTCCCATGCAACACATTTTCAATGTATTGATTATCATAATCAATGATTCTTGTGAAGTTCACGAGTATCACCTACAAAGTTAACAGGCCGACGCTTGGATTAACTTTGGTGGTGATACTCGTAGTAACAGGATGTGCTAGGAAATATTTTACATGAATCGACATGTCAAACTCGCCTCAACTCTGCCCGCCTTCATAACTTGCAACTCATCAATCATTTCCTCTGAACTCGGTCAGTATTCACAAGACATGTATCACACCGCTATTATATCCGTGTTGCTTTATTTCATGCAAGAGGTCCACTGTTCTTCTTGAATCAACTACAGAATATAAAAGGGTGTGACCTCAGTGGTTTTGGGACAACAAAAATCATCAAGCATCACCATCTGGTCAACTTTGACAACACTGGTTTCTTTTTTGTCACCTGGTTTGTCCGCCATGCCCAAGTTCCCCTTTCATGCCTAGCTATGCTGACTCTCCACTTTGTTTGGTTAATACAATCCTCTATCTCAGAATTTAAACATAATATACCACCATCATGTCTGATCTAAATCCAGCCACCTATCGCGGAATGTACCTGTCTGGTAATTTTGAAATTGAAGAAAAGGTAGATCCTGTTTACGACATTTCCCCAGTACATTACCAACATTTTTATGCCCTTCCGCAGGTATTGCCGGACAATGGTTGGCGATCGGAATACAGAACCTACACAATCTGTATTGGGTGTTGTGGCGCCGACCGTCAAAAGCCGTTGCTCTATGAAATAGTTGCCAAAGGTTCTAGCGGGGCCAAGTTCAAGTTGCTCCAAAACCATGTTTACTTCTTGCAAGGAGCCCTCTTCCCATCTAATTTGCCTGATACAAAGGCTGATCGGTTCATTTTTGAATGAAGCGATGTAGTTATGTTAGGCCCAAGTGAGAATTTTGAGGGTGATTTAGTTGATTTGGTAGGAGTGACTGGGTTGGGTATTGTAATCGCTATTGATTCAATTATCGAGGAATGTTGTCAGTACATGAAGAAAACACCAGATCAAGAGCCAGTTGCCACCACGGTTTTCACGGTCCCGCACGCTGATTATCATCCCATTGTAAGTTTTAATATGCTCATTGTTTACAGTGACTGGCTGGTACTCACTATTCAGTATTTCAGATGAAGACTGCTTGTACCAGCACTGTTGAATACAGAATTTGCCCAACTCCGAATCTTGTAAAGATTGCCGGCATTGTCAGGATTGGTCGTGAATGTCAATTTCACGGATTTATCAAGGACTTCAACCAAGAAACCTCGTGTTACGTTGTTATTGTAAGCTGTTCCTGCCTGGCTCTCTCCCATATATTGTGACTTGTAGATTGAACCAACAGGCCAACAAAGTCCACATGACCACCGGTTTTCAAGACATACCTTCCCAAAATGATACCGGGAACAATGATGGTGTTAATGTGCTCAAGAAACCAAAGAAGTAAGTGTAACGATAGCTCAATCATATACCTTGGCAAGCGCATCTGATATTGTCATGCCAGATTCAAGCCTAGGTCCACAACTTCAAGTATTCAGCCACCAATGACTCCTCAAGAAGGTATCAGCAGTGTTACATTTGGTTACACTGATAAATCATCTTTATTGTTGTCATCAAGCACAGGACACTCGGCCTCCACATCCAAAACTTTGGTGGAAGAATTGTCGACCACAAACACTGACATTCCAGAACAAGTGCCCAAGAAACAAGCCCGTTATCAACCCAAGCGCAAGATTACAAACCCCACCTACAAAGATACTTATGTCAAATCTTGATTGTATTTTTTCTTAATAATTGTTGGTCATAGGTATTGCACGCGGTTTGTCTCACGCTGACAATAGTTATCCATTGCCTCTATCCATGAACTTTGTATAACTGCGGCTTTGAAAGTCCTATAACATATTGTCTCTTGGTATGATAGATGGCTCCCAATCTTTGTTACACTCCACCATTGATGCGCGCATTGCTGTTGTTTCATGAAGCCAAATTTATATATTCCCTCTATTATCATACAAGTTACTAATTGTTTGTCGGCCCTATGGCATGCTTTTCACTATTGTACGAGGTACTGGGTGGCCAGCCACCCTCTGGGATTGACCGGCCAGCCTCTGTACAGTACTGAACTGCAGTGAGTCATTTGTAATGAGTCGCAGTGCGAGCAGTAACTGTGCATTCCACAGGAATAATGTATGTACCAGGCGGTAGCAGTGTTCAAACCTGAACCTGAGATAGAGGTCATGTGGCTCTCAGCATTGACCAGGAGTACGGGGATGCAAATTGTTACACATATGATGTTGTGAACTACGGCAATGCAAGGTGTTACATATGAGATGTACAGGCGTGACGTTTTGTGAGTCGTGACAGATAAGTGTCACAAGAGTCAGATGCACCATGTATGTGAGCCTACTAGCGTCTGTTAGGCTAGTAGAGTCAATGAAAATGTTGTAGAAGGTCTAATAACTTCTACTAAAGTTGTGTAGATCAAGATCTACAAGTATGAACGGGTAGAGACGTGGGCGTAAGAGCTTTACTTGAAATAGACAAGTAAAGACTACAGTTAGTTGACCTTTAAACAAAGGCTTTAGCCCAGTGATTTTGGGTTAATTATTGTCTTTACAATAATTAAAAATAAGAGCAACTGACGCGCAGTTCTCAATCCTAATTTGATCCTCTTCTTATTCAAAGAAAGGTCAAAGAAGGTGGTGTTAAAGTCTATTATAACACCGGGAACTTTACACTCTGACTAATAGAGATTTCCCCGTAGATTTAGAGTTTCTTATATCAGATGAATCCCAAGTCTGATATCAGCAGTACCCAAGGACTACTTCCTTACAAGTAATTCCACCAAATGGATATTACAAGAACTACTGATTATGGGGTCTAATCAGAAACAAAGTTGAATGAGCACACAGAATAAGCAACAAGACACAAGGTTTGAGTTTCAAGGTTCGTAGAATCAGGCCTTTAAAGTTTGGTAATTGATAAGCAAAGTTTAAAGGTTCTAGGAAGATGAATAAAAGCAAAGTTGTGTGGTTGTTGAATAATAATGTGATGATGTGATTCCTCTCAATTTGGTTGGATTTCCAGGGTTTATATAGTCTGAACCTTGGAAATCTTTGGACTACAAGTGCGCACAAATTGTGGTTCTATGGTTAGGTTTATTACAGTAAGACAGTTACTATTGGATTATAAGTATATTTCACTTGTTACATATGTGTTACGGCTGTGAAATATATGTAGCTTTGGTTTGCATCAAAGTTATGTATGTTCACACCATTTGATGTAAGTTCTGCACATGTTACATATGCTAAATCATATGTAACTTGACTCTTGAAACTGAGCCTTGAGTTGTAATTGCTATTTTGAAGGTTTTTATTATAATACGTCGCCCATTGGTACTCTGGTTTAGTACTCAGGGCTGACAATGTATATGGAGTGTACAAATTCAGAGCTTAGCTAGAGATAGGTGCCTCAGACCCGAAAGGCGAGATGTTCTTCACAACGACCTTTACGACCCATCTGCCGTTACTTCCATTCATGCTCAACACAGTACCCCTCAGCAAAAGAAGTTGACCTGCAACTACTGAACCAGGTGTCCCGTCGAGACCTACAGCCTTTTCGTATATATAGTCAACTTCAAATTCTGAATACGTAAGATTCTGTATTGGCTCATCAACACTAAGAACGTCATGGGTTGGAAGACTGAAGCACCTACTTGCATATCCCATTCTCTATGCATTACGGCAGCTACTCTCCATTTCTGTCCAGAGATGGCCAGACTGACCAGCGAGTCACTAAGAACCATTCCTCTGCCTAGCACGTTTAGGCCTGGGCTTGGACCCATTGATGTATCTGCCCAGTAAGCACCTACAGCTTCCTCGTGTTCAATTACCAGGCGCATTGATGGTTGGGACTGACCACGCACAACTACTCCATGTAAGTGGAGTTGTCCTGTAGGGTATTCGGCACCTGCAGTAACTTCTTGGACCAAGGTGACATTGACTGGGCCGTCGATCTGGTTCAGGACCACCGAGGCGTCATAGGTATTGCGCAGCCTCCCATTATGTCTCTGCGGAGTAATAGAAGATAAGTCAGCCGTTGTTCCGAGTAGGTCAAGGGCAGAGCCAGTACTAACACAGTCTTGCACCATCAATGGACCGGCCCATTTCAGTGTGAGTTTAGTGTACGGACCTATACCTGCCAGGCGCATCCTCGTCGTGGCCTGCATTTCAGTACCTAGCGTTGTGAGTGGTTGGAGATTGAGATGTATTGTTTTATCTATAGCGTTGAAGCAAATTGAGTCGTGGGTCAATGTTTTTGAAGCGGCGTAGACGAATATGCGTTGCTCAGGGCAGATGATTAGGGACACCTCTTTTTGAAGCCGAAGGATATACGAACTGGGCCTGACTTCAGGCCTGATGCAACCATGTACACAGTAAGAACCCCAATCAGTAAACGTGTCCCCTGTCTGTCCCAGTCACGCCTGGCTTGCTAACTCTGGCACTAAGCATAAGAAGGCCATCCCAACCAAATGCATCACAGTCGTCTCTTGGAGTTGCCACATTGCTCATCATCATATTATCTTCGCCACGACATGGAGCCGCCTTACTTACCAATTGGTTTTCAATCTGGACTGGTCCTTGGAGAAAAGGTCAGACTGAGCTCATTTTACTATGTCCCAACATGCGTTAACATGTATTGGCGTTAGGTCTCACTGGCTAGCACGTATCGGTTCTCTTTGGGCCACTTCAGTAGCGAGGTGTTTACCACATCCAATGGACTCGGAATGACTCCAATCACTGTCATAGAAACGTCGCCTGGGCAGCTGGAAGGCAACTCGTGCTACTATGTGTACGGCCGTATCCTAGCAAGACGTTATCCAATGGGACCAGGATTCCATGCCGACAGGACTATTCCCATGACGTCCCGACCAGGCTCGCAGTTCCAAGCTGCCTCACAGGACTATGTACTTGTGACGAGCATTGGGAGAGTTCTCGAGTGCTACTTTTCGGATCAGAGGATGCGATGGGTTGTGAAAGTTTTGCATTGAGATTGGGACTCAGTTGTAAGTGACTTCAGTATCCTAGAATTCTCAAATGCTGACGTACTCCTCAGTCCCATAATGTATTGTCTTTGAACGCGGAATACATATTGCGACAGGAGAGAATGGGAGAACTTGGCGTTGGGACTTTCGAGGTCGGTAGCATCCTCAGTTTCGATGGTCACCTCATTGGCTATGCGGCCGGCAGTGACAAATGGACAATCAATGTAAGTAGCTAACTTCTAGGCATTTTTCACTGGGCTGACTTGAATTGCCCAGTTGACCGAAGCGCAACCGATCCAACCGTGAACCGGGCTAGAAGAGATGTCAAATCGGACATGCAGAGTGTACTGTATCATTTTTTGGTCCTTTGCGGTCACTGCCGGTTGTCCTATCTGTTTTGGCCCGACCTCAGGCTGACCTGACAAATCTGTTTTGTATCGTACCGTTATTGATGGGTTCAGGCTATAGCCGGTCCAGACCACTGATACTAAGAAAATGATATGATACGCTACTTGTCTACTTGCAAGTCTGCTAGAGCTCGAGCGCCAGTCCCGCTATGAGTCAGATCTCTTCTTCTGAGCGTATAAATGACGGAGTACTGTGTGGTAGGTCGCGGTCTACCTCTAACGGTACCAGCACTTTCTCAATCGATTATCACTTCACTCGCAGAATTACGGTTGAGATAACTACCAAATCTTTATTACTGTTCAGACCCAGCTAGTGAGTATTGTTGCTTTACCAAAGCTGTTTCACACATGACTTGCGATGAAACTGTAGCTAATGATGTCACAGTCTTAATTAGACGCACGACAGGTCATGTCAAGCACCACAATGGAATACATTGAGTTTCAGTCGCGTGGCCGCCCTCACTTAAACCTTGTACGACATATTTCACTGGGGACTGAACAAACAGGTCCGTCACATTGTGCACATCGTAAGTAGAATCTGTCATAATGTGGTTTTGCATCTGGACGTGTGCTAAATATTGGTGTTGCACTTCTGATCCTTTGTAATTGGCAGCGGATCATGTGGAAGTCTCAGTTGAGCACTTTGTTAGGGGTGGGGCTGCTGCTGTAGACGGTTCAGAGATCAACACTTCTCAACCTGTGTCATAATCAGTACGGTATCTGGGCAATTCGAATGAGTTGTCCCAGTTCTGTACTGTGTGGCATACTCGATTTCAAGGATCAATCTACCTGGTTAATTGTAATACGGGCCAGTGTGCCACCCGCACCCAGAACTACCATTATGAGATGAAGTGTAGAGACAACTCTTTGGTACGGCTGACTTGAATTCAGTACTGCGTGGCCTTCTTATAAAGCGCCGGCACGCTTCTGCTTTATTCTAGCGCCGTGTTGTAACAACGGGGCGTCTACACTGTAATGATGCTAGAAACCTGAGTGAAATTATAATGTCAAGTCAGAGTCTGGATGCGCTGAAGCCAATCCGGAACTTACAATGACCACCCACTGATGTACATCTTGAGCATACTGCATGAGCGTTCCCTTGCATTCAACAGTTAAACTTTCCGGACTGTCACGATTGGCCAGACCTGAGATTAACCCAGTATTGTCAACGTATTTCACATGGAAGTCTACGAAACGCCCGAACTTTACGGAGCTGTCAGTCTATGACATAAGTCAGGCAGCAGTTTGTAATCTTCACGTACCCCTCGACCCACGCATTGTGGGTAACCGTCAGGATCCACCAGCCCCTTAAATTGGGCTCTTTGTGTAGCGGTTGACAGAAGTGAATTCTGCCACGACCGACAACATGAACTTGATCCACTGTGATACCCAACGCACGCAAAGCTAAAGGCTCAGCCATGCCCAGGACCTCCGTATTGACCATTGTAGCGCCACTCGGACCCAGGGACACAACCAGTCCGGAGAAAGTCACAACGGAACCTTTGTCCAGGGCCTCGGGTGATCTCGTGATTAAGCAAAAGGGAGAGTAGCGACTTTGAATGAATGGGTGGACGGCGGACACATCGTATTGTACGCCCGGGCCACCACCAAAGACAGTGACGGATGTCTGCATAACAAATCAGACACATATTCACTGGAAAAATTGTTATGCTTACTGGGTTATGTACTCGTACAGTGGCATTCCACTCCAAGGGCATAGATTCCTGATTGTCCATTTGCTCTGAGCGTAAGCTATGTATTGATAGGTAATTGATGTGTGAAATAGTGAAGCCTACTTGGTACGTCAACCGGCTTGAAGCGGCTCTGGTATTCAATTCAAGCAGAAATTGACACAATTCATGTCTCTTCAAGAAGAACCTGACCGGGTGCCATGCGTTAAAATGTGATTGTTCACGATTTGCTAAGCTCAATTGGGCAATTACTGAATGGTAAAATCTTGGTCATTGGTCATCCTCGGTAATGTGTGTCCTTCAGAGGGACACAGACGGACCGTTACGATGAGCTGAATTGTATGCATTGACGGCCTTGACGTGTCTGCGCATGACTAAATCTAAGTGCAGGGCTCCATTGTGAATGTGAGGGATGTTGGGTTGGTTGAGTAAGTCATGCCTTTGCGGTCGCCAAGCGTACTGTAGTGTATGGACAGGGCACATTCACATGCACGCGTTGAATGGTTCTCATAGGGATTGATGAAGAATACGGCGATTTTGTATGCGCCTGAATGTGATGGAGTGAATTGCAAAAGACTACACGGGAGACGCTTCATTTGAGTCGCAATGCACAGAAGATTAGAAAATTCTTTATGTCAGGAAAGTCAAATAGAGGCTGGAACCGTGTATATTAGAAGTGGCTTCTATTTGACTTGTCAGAGCCCTGGACGTTGACCATTTCGAAAGATGTCTCTTGTACCCAACTCAATCCCTACGAATGTGTCAGATAATGCTCGCTTGCCCATAAACTGGAGCGGTGTATTCAAGTTAAACACCGAGGTACGTTCAAGGTACTTGTATATGACATCGTGCTGATAGCTATTGGAATTAGTGTTTGCGACTGTCCAGCGGTGGAGGTATTCGAGAGTGTTTCCAAAGTACGGTTGTGCTTCTAGTCGGTCGCCGTCCCCATTTACGTTTCTTCGTATCTACCAATCCGAACGTGCCTACCTTGGAGGCAAATCAATCCTACAGACTTGTTGGTGAAATGCTAGGAAGAAGTAACCGTCACGATACAGTCCTCTCACCCCTGGCTGGTGGGGTAATCCGACTTGAAGAGTATGAGGCTCAACTACCACAGCCTCTACCAGTCATCACGGTGGCAAGCCGTGGCCACATCATGCGGTGCGTTAGGCGCAGGGTTGTTGGTCAGGACTACGAGCGTTGGGTCATTACCGCGATGCATAACGGGTGGGACGACAGTGTAAGCAATTCCGCCTGTAGTCCACCAAACCGATGCTGAACCCTTTTCAGTTGGGTAGCGTGGCACATTTTCTTGTTTTGTATGAGGCTTCCCTAAAACTGTTCAACTCCATCGGCGTCAATAATCTCAGTACGGGCAACATCGTGAATTTCAGCGGAGTGGTGATCAATTACTCACCAGTTGGTAGGGCATGGGTTGTAGAGGTAAGCAGTAATCTGCTTACAATCGGGATTGATGCTGACTAATAACAGCTTAGAGCGGTAGATCATATTGTTACGGCCCGACCAGATGTGTCTGCTTGGAAGCGGAGAGCATCTGCTAGCACTTGAGATGATTGCCCGAGTCAGGGTCTCATCATCAAGTTTGGGTTGGACTATCTGTACAGAGGGTAAATGATAAAGGAAAGCTGGTAGTGGCCTCAGTTTGGAATAAGTTTCATTAGATCTAACGGGACAGTACAGTTAATTACAATTAGTTACAATGTTCATGTAGTTGTGCCAAAGTTTCATAGATTTGAAGGGAGTTTGCGTTGCGGTGTGGTACAGATGGTTACACCTTCAATGAAAATTCCGGAAACAGGCCGGCCTTGACGGCTCTCAATGCAAGAAATATATAGTGAGATAATGTGCTGCAAAAAACTGCGACGCCCAACCCTGTGTGAGATGTGAAATGAAGAAATGAGGTAAGCTGGAGCAGGGCACGGCAAGTATCGGTACATATGGTGCTTACGCTGAAACACTAAACAATGGCTTCCTTGGACACCACATTAAGAGTGGTTGAATGGTTTGAACTAGCCAAAGAAACAATTGTCTCCTCCGCAGACGTACACCTAGACAGCCCGACATATAGTTGCCCATGAGCAAAAACTGGCGTTGGAAGCACCAAACATACTTTGTTGACTGTTTGACCCTGGGCTTTGTTTATAGTCATTGCGTAAGCCAGAGCCACAGGGAATTGAAGGCGGTAAAAAGAGATCGGAACATGTTGATCACCTGGGTGTTGCAACTTAATGCGAGGTAGAAAGACGTCCGAGCCGCGCTTGGGGCCAGTAATGATCAGGCATTGCAAAGCATTGTCAGTAGTACCTAGTATTAACATGCGGGTTCCATTGCACAGGCCGCGTTTTAGATGCAAATTGCGCAGTAGGACTACCACCAATCCAGCTTTGAGCTTGAGGTCATGTTGTGGGAAGCTGGCCATGTTGAAAGTGTTAAGAATGTCCACGCTCACTTGTTCAGCCCAGTCTTTGGTAAGAGCATCGACTGATTTATACTGTTTAACCAACCCGTTTTGAGCTGCCAGGACATGTTGATTGATCTTGCTGACGGTCTTGTTCAGAGGTGTTATAATGACGCGTTCTGCGTAAAATCGAGCGAGAGCAGCCCATGCTTGGTTGGAGAATAGAGAGGCGGAACCCGCGTAGAAATTATTGACTACTTTCTTGTCAAATGAAGCGTTCTCGTTGAAATGTGTTACTTCAACATACCGCAGTTTGAGTTCTGCGACTGGAGCATCTTGAAGTGCTCCGTCACCAACCTGTAGCAACCAGTTAGCAAATCCCCGAGTGTTGGTATGAGTAGCTTGGTCCATGTCAGCGCGGCGCAGTCTCATATTGATTGTGAGTTTGAACTGTACTACGCTCTCCCACAAATACGAGTTCTTGATGCACGCTCTGACTGCGTCTTGTAACGACCCGGATTTTACCACTGGCGATATTTGTCGGAAATCGCCAGAAAAGAGCACCGTTACCCCACCAAATGGTTCGTCTGAGTCGCGTAGGTCCCTCATTGATCGGTCTACACATTCTATTGAGTCCTTGTTCATCATAGAAATCTCGTCCCATACCAAGAACTTAATGTGGCTGAGCAATTTGCCTGTGGCGTCCGATCTTGTAAAGTTGCATGTGGAACCGGGGTCAGCTTGGAGCGGTATTTTCAGGATTGAATGAGCTGTCCCGCCATGTAGCAGGAGTAACGCTGCAATGCCGGAAGACGCCACCGAGGCGAATGGGATATTATTGGTATTGCAATAATTGAGGCACGTATTAAGCAAGTAAGTTTTCCCGGACCCACCTGGTCCATCAACAAAGAGAAAACTTCCTACATTCGATTCAGTTGAGTATTGGATTAGATCAAAAATTTCGTGCTGTTCTGGAGTGAGGCTAGAGATCGATTGCAAGAGCAATTCCTGGGACATGGTTGGCTCTTCAATACTATCCTTGTCAGTGGTCCCGCCGCCAATTTCAAACAGTAATTGGAGGTTGACGTCGAACAGGCCGACTTCCTCAAGAGTTTTACCCATGCCCATCACGGAACTTTCTAGAAGCGACAGTCCATAATTGTGCAGCTGAGAAATGGTTGGTCAAATGAGAGGCGCCACGAGCCCTAGTTGGTATTCACAGTCATCGCAGAGATCCAAAATGTGTTCTTCCCAAAGACGAACAGGGTTGGCAGGAGGGCTGTGGACCAGTATAAGAGCAAACATCTCCCAAAGCTGCTTGCCGGTTTTCCACGTGGCCGCCTCTGATAAACAAGCATCGAAATGGGTATCGGATAGAAGCAACCCAAGACTATCCGCAGCACTTCGATAGGTTCTATGAAGCACCCCATTGACCGTCCTCAGGCTGAGGAATGAGGTGGGTCCTTTAACTGCTGTCAACAGAAGTCGTAGATAATAGCGTTCGCCGTGGCTAGGCATTGCGAAATGTAAGCGACTAACTGCAATGGTGTTGTTAACTCGTCTAAGCCTTTCCGGCTTGGACCACCAATAGTACGTGGGCATGTCGGCATATAGTAGTGAACGGACAGGAATCTTTGTTTTGGGTATTAAACCACCCTGACTGCATACGGCGAAAAATTCGGTAAGGGTAGAGCGCTGAGCTGAGCCTGAATCCATCTGGTGCCGGAGGGTATCTGTGTTGTGAAAGTAAACGGTGTGGGAATTTTCTAGATGCAACATGAGTCGAGTTATTGATGGGTAACGCCCGGAGAGAGAATATTTATACAGCCGCCATATTGCTACAATACAAAGTCAGCATCGTATAGAGTTCGTTTTCGCGGGTGGGAACTTACCTTCAGGGGAAGCCAGAGTCCTTCTGTCGACAAAGTCATTTGGTTCGTTTTCAACTTCTAAACTGACCGTGCTTCGGTCGTGTCCCTTACTGATGTATTTGTACAAGTATTTGATAGATTTCATCCCCAGTGTAACTTCAACGTTGATGTGACATTGGAATTTAAGAAGGAGAAAGGGGTTGTAAGGTACGACGTCGCGATTAGTGTATTTGTAGCCATTTTTCATGAAATATCAGCCATCGTCAGGTCTCTTATAACTTGGATATGCATCCTCGGTGATGGCCGTTTCGGAGTTGAATTCCTTAGGATAACCGTACTTGCATCTATGTCCATTCCAACAAGCCTTGCCTTCGGCACAAGGTCCATGGAGCATGAAATTTGTGACATGCGCGTAGAGATCTGGAGATGCTTCAGGATCAGGGAGAACAGCCCAAACTGCCAAGTCAACTGCAGCAGGGGTCTTCGGAGTTGAAGAGGCATCGTTGATCATGACGGTATGGTCATGAGGGTTTCCCCGCTTCTGGAATTCGACGGTGTGGACGTATGAGATGTTGCTGCCCAGTCTGGAACGTTCGAAGAGATCTTCATGAAGCTCTTGAAGCTTGAGTTGAAACACACGGGCAACCAGGTCCGGCCTGTCGTCCGATGTTTGTCCAGGTAGCAACGCGGCGGTGATCTCAGGCCACTTGGGATTAGCTGTCATTGTAACGAAGAAACTTGGGGGGCCATAAACTTTGACCAAAGCCATAGCATTGTGATAAAGCTCATGCATAGCTCTGGGACCGCCAATAAATGTACACTACAAGAAATATAATATTTTCTGGGCAGAAAATTAAATTATTGATACACAAAAATATTGAGAGGCCAGGAGAAGGGCAAAAAATAAATAAAAATATGCATCTTGTTCCCTGCGGTGAGAGCTTCACTCTCCATATTTTTCCGTATTTTTACAGTCCATATTGATAAGTGTACTAACAATAAACCTTCACAATCATCCAATTACAACCTGTAACAAGCACTGAAATTTGGCTCATTAGTGTTTAGAGAAACTTTTGATTTCTGAAAATACTCATAAATTTTTCAATTCCGGTCCAAAACGCTCGATTTTGGGTGCATTGGTAAGCTGGAATTGTCCTCCACATAGTTCATAAGAGGACCACACAGCATGCTGGTCTTCTAAAAAAGATATCATCTTTTTTATACATTTGTACATCCAGATCCATAGAATGATTGTCATACTAGCTACATAGTTCTTGATCTTATGAAAGTTCGAGGTGAAGAGTTCAGCTTTCTAATGCACTTGAAATTGAGTGTTTTGAGGCAGATTTCACAAAGTTATAGGTGTTTTCAGAAATCAAAAGTTTCTTTAGACACTAATGAGCCAAATTTCAGTGCTTGTTACAGGTTGTAATTGGATGATTATGAAGGTTTATTGTTAGTACACTTATCAATACAGACTGTAAAAATATGGAAAAATATGGAGAGTGAAGCTCTCACCGCAGGGAACAAGATGCATATTTTTATTTATTTTTTGCCCTTCTCCTGGCCTATCAATATTTTTGTGTATCAATAATTTAATTTTCTGCCCAGAAAATATTATATTTTGTGTAGTGGTAGAAGGAAGAATGATTCGCTTTCCAACAGTAGCATTGTTGTTGTTGAGCGCTTCAGCAGCGCCGTTGTAAAGCGCTGCACGAATTTTCTTCTGATTGTTCTTATAATACTTCATGCGCGCATTTTCAACGCACACATACATGTCGACTATGTACTCCTGGAGAAGCCTACCACCTCGCAATATGGGGGAAAAAACTCCAGCTCGACTGAACAAAGTGAAAGCTGCCCACTCCAGATTAGATACTTTTCCGCTTTTGCCTGCAGGAGAAGGAATGTCAGAACCATACGATGTTTACGTTCAAGGGAGACTCACGCCGTTCATTCAAATGTCGGTAGTGTTCATCCCAACCATGGGACCCGAACATGAAAAATATTGGATAACGTAGCGAGAAATAATTTGTATTAAGATCGCAGATTCTCCTAAGTGGGCCATCTCGCCGTCTAAGGATAATATCACGATCTTCAGATCCAATACTGCCATCACCTTGTATTACAGCTGCAACCTCACTGCATGTTGGGTAGTTGTAACGATTCGGGTCACGGCCGGATATTGGCATTGATTTGATTTTGATGGTTCTGACGATGGCACTGTCCAAGATTTCTTCGGCTGATTTGTACAACTTGGCGAATGGGTTGTGGCGGTAGAGGAAGTCTTGAAGAGTCTTGATGATTGCAGGTTCCAATCCACCACCGGCACGCGAGTTGCGATCTGCAGCTTCTTCGTCGCCCTGATCGCCGTACATGAAAATTTGTGCAAACTTTCTAGGTATACCAGGAGTTGGGAGGAGTGAGCCGATACGGTGGGTAAGTCGTCCTTTAATCTTATATGTCCAAGAACCACCGTTACCCGCTACGCTCACGTCCTGCTTCGTACCAGTGGAAGCAAAGGAGAGAGCATTGTTGTATCGGCGTATATCTTGCCGGAATGCTTTGGAAACTGGGTAGCAAGGGTCAGCGAGATTGAAGAGAGAAATGAGAGAACGTGGACTAACCTCTGTCCTGATTAGACAACAGCTGCTTTAGAAACTCTGGTGTTAATTCATTCTCACGGTCGGTGCTGGGAAGTTTAACCGCCCCTTGCTGGCAACATGCAGCGTAGACAGCAGTGGCGGCAGTTTTGGTACCTGGTTGGCGTTCTAACTGCCAATGCAACGCCCCGCAGTAGGAGCAGGGGTCATCGCATGTGCCAATGTCGTACGGTATCTCTGCGGCGAAGCGGTGCTTAATAGAGACCTCAGTATTTTCGGAGGAGGTAGAGACAGCGGGACCGTGGTTAACCATTGGACCAATTAGGTATTAAAGTGCAAAGTTCAAGGAAAGACTGATAGCAGTCCATACGGGCATGTCAGAAATGTGATCAGATGGAGAGGCTGGCAATTCAAGGAGGAAGGGATTAATAATAACGCACCTGTTCAAGGAGAACTGTTGACTACAACATGGAATGAGGGATTATAACGGTCAACGTTTATTTCAGGATCAGTCAGATATGTACTTCAAACGAACCTTTCTGCAGCTCAGTTATTCGAAGTGGACCGAGGGATATTGTTGTAGTTAATGTAATGGAAGAGTAATTAGAGAGACCGGAGGCCAAGTAAAATTGGAATTCTGACGTAGGATAACCTGTTAAGAAACGACGACGTAATTGCTTGGTGATGATAAGTTCAAGAAATTGGCGGGGGGTGCCTTTTATGGATATCTGAGCGTCTACGCCATGTTGCTATGCCCGGCGAAAATTAATGCTGGACAAGATCAAAACAGTTTAACTAATCGTTGTGCTGGAGAATTGATTGACCTGGAAATAAAAGATTCTTCCATCGTAACTGGCTGGGTCAGATATGCTGATGGACTCAGCAGAGATCACCGTTGGGCGACGCTGAAATGCGCGCTAGGTTGAGTTGGGCCAAATGGTAGCTGGCTTTCGCCAAAAGTTGGTTAAACTGGGCCGAATTGAAAGCTACACCCGACGTGGGCGATGTACTGGAGGAACGGAGACAGGCCCAGATTCGGTGGCGTATTACCACCTGATGTGGCATCAAGCGCGATTTTGCTGATAATGAGATGTTTTGCATTGGATGAGTGTGGGTTTGCTGAATTGACAGGTTGCGTTGGAGAAGACTCCACGGCCATTACTTTGTAGAAGTATTATAAGGTTAACTGCGCAGGCCGGCAAATAAGGCGCTAGTGCGTTTGGTGTTGTGTGTATGAGGAAGAAAAGTTGTGCTCAAAAGGATGCGAGTTATATTGACACTATATAAGGTAACGGTCTCTATTTGACATAGTAAAAACAGGCGTAAATGAAAAGTACAAGTAAGTGTGGAGGAATGGATACACAGGGAGATTATGATACAAATGCTGACGCAAAGTGAAGCCGCAGAGGCTGTACAAGTTCGGAAAGTACCAATGTGAAAAAGCCCTTGTAGGTATCATTCCTCCACATCTTCGTCAGTGTCGGCCTCGATGAGTTCGCTAGGCTCTTCAGGACACTCAGATTCAACTTCGGTGGCCTTAGCTGGTGCCTTGCCTTTCTTAGACTTGGAAGCAGGAGTCTTCTTGGGGGCTGACTTCTTTGTTACGGGTGGAACAGGGGAAACGGGCCATTCTTCGTCGGAAATGTTTTCCTCGTCCTGTGCGGCGGTGCTAACTTGCGGTGGCAGGGCTGCAGAAGTCTTACCTTTACCTTTCGGAGGCAACCTTGACGCCTTTGCAGGAGTGACTGCGGGTTTGGGAACATGCCTAATGTTTTTGATTAGCCTGGATAGTATAATCAGAGGAATAAAGGCTCACTTGGCTGGACGAGCACGGCGTGCAGGTAAGGAGGGAGACTTGAGTGGAACCTCTTCGGAAGCGAGTTTTCGCTTGGCGGAAGGGGTCGAACTGGGACCGGCGACGGCATTAGTTGGGGTGTTAGGGCTAGGTATGTGCCTGAACGGGATTGTTAGCTCCTTCATGAGGCGTCGTAGCGAGCAGAAGTGCGACTTACTTTGCCGGGCGAACACGACCAGCAGGTGTAACAGAACCAGCGGGATCGATCTTCTTGCCGGAGGTTCCTTCGTTACCCGTGCATGGACTGACGCCAGTGACCTGTGAGAGAATTGTCAGTTCCATGATGAGGAATTTTTTTTTGATGAACACGTACTTCGACTACCCAGCGGCTATGCTCGGTTTCCCAGTCGACAATGAACCCGTTGATGAGAGTCTCACGACCTAGTTGAACAATGTTCTGACTCTTCTCCATATTGCGAGTGGGTCGGATACGGTATTCGATTTCAAAGTACTGATTTTTACGGAGCTGGAGAAGAAGTGTCAGTTATATTGAGCTGCACTATGGTTCAGGACGTACACACCTGTGGTTGGTAGTCAACGTGTTTCATTACAAAACATAGGGTCGATTTGCTATCATCTTCGTCAGGGATATTCCAGCAACTGGATACCACCCCCAGACCCGAGATCGCGGTATTATTATGAAGGACGCCCGTAAATGTTTCGCTTGTACCAACAAAGATCTTGTGGTTGGCCTCGTAATACATGTTGAAGTCAGCAGACTCCTTTTGAGGCAAAAAACAGGCCTTCATGACGTAGCATTCTCCTTCGTGTTGAACTTCAATGGCAGAACAGTAGGCTGTGATTTACCGTCGTATTCTCTGTTGTTGTCGTCGTTCCATCCATT